TTAAGCTTATTAAATCTAATTTTTTATACACTGAGGAAGGTCCAATATTGTTGGGACCGAAACGTTTGTATTTTATACTGAATAAAGTCTTTATTTGAACACGACCAACCGGTTCTCACTGCTCGTATCGGCCTTATTTTCTACATTGGCTTATTAAGTATGAAACTTGACACATGTAGTATTTGTTCAAGTTTTATATTTAATGATTCAATATTTTTCATAAATTATACAACATGTATTGATACAATGTACATATGAATACAAATAACTGCACTCTGAAAAACGCGCCGTTGGTAATATCAACGCTCTTCAGAGTTGTCCGAGGTTACTTTTAGCGCGACTACGAATATTATTATTGAAAATCGAATTTATACGCCGACATCTCGCGCACTTGTGTGACAAAAGGTACATATGTCATTTCGCCATGCTCAACATCGTATCTGATTTTTTTTAAATTACATCGCCCGCTATACGTAAACAAGACGCTATAAGCACAATATACGAAGTGGCTTTAATAGCAGTTGAAAGCGCAAACAAACGCCCGTTTCACGTAACGGCGCTGAAACCACTGCCACACTGGAGACGTCAGGCGAACTGAACGTTGGTGAGCTAGTGCGCTGTAATTGAGTCACAGTATATGCAGGATATGTTGTATACTGTGATTGAAACATTATGGGTGAAGTTGGTGTCACGGCGCGCGGCACGGAGCGACAGTTCGCGCAAATTTCGCGATCGCCCCTTTGACTCGTCTCGACATTTCGACCGTAGCTTCTCTTTCTCTCTTTCATCTCGTAGCCGTTCCGTCGAAGGGTTTCTCGGGGAAATTTCTCGTGTTAATTGCCGGCTCGTGAACAGAATTGGTCGCGGACGCGGATTCGACGTCAACGGCGAAGAAAATAGTGTGTGTGACATCCAAGTGACATGCTCGTCGTTCGATCGCAGGAAGATCCAATGCCGCGCGTCGCGGACGTGGCAGCAGAATTTGCGCTATAAACTCGTTCAAGGTTTTCTTTCATGGCAAACGGTGCGTTCTCTTCGCGATTAATTTGTGGATCATCATCATCCGCGCGTCGCAATTCCAACAACGCGGTGCTCCGCGCGATGGGTTAAGGGTAAAACGCGCGAAGTATCTCGCGAGTTTAACATCCGTCTCTCTCCCCCCCCCCCTCTATGTGCAGTGGTACCCCACGAGTGTAACCTATTTGCTGCGACGCGCGTAGTATTGTTGATTGATGACCGTCTTTCTTTCTCAATGAGGAAACATAATATCATATATTCGAGAAGCCTTACGTAGTTTTGACTACGGGACAGAGCTAACGACAGCTAACGCATAACGTGAACCACGAAAACGCGCCTTCGAATCCTTTGAGTTTGTTATTACGATACGCGGTTTATGTCGTCGCGCGAGAATCGTCTCGATAAAAATTTCAGACACGGAAAAACGTGTGTTTCTGTCTCGTGAGAGAAGTGTCAGATTTTTTTAGTGTGCGCGCGAGTCACGATCGATCGATGTGTCATCACACGCCTTATTATAAAACGTACATCAATTATCGAATCTTCGAATTGCAACATATACTCGTCCTTCGCGCGCGTATATTTATATATCGGATGCCAGTCGGCTTCTTCAACGGCCTCTCTCCGAACGCGCGCGTCCGTTTTTAGGAACATAATTTCTCTCGCTCGATATGTACGTGTGTACAACTCGACGTGACTTCGCGTCTCTGTGATTCCTCGAACTGAGAGGGAAACGCGTGATCTCAGTGAACGAGAAAAAAAAAAAAAAAAAAAAAAAAAGTACCAATGCAAAACAACGATTCCGCGAACGTTCGCTATTAAATCCGTCGCGTTCATTCAATGAAGTGTCGCGATTATGGACTGATCGAGTTGCGGAGCATCCTTCGTTCCTTTCGCCGTGACGGTAACCGTCAGTGCGTTAGTCGACGGAGTTCACTTCGGATGTGTTTTGGCAGCTGATTTTTAGAGTTCTAACTTCTCTCTTTCCATAACAGAAACGTCAGAAAATTTTTCGACCCCTTGCACCGTCGAGAGAGCTAAACGCTATCGTGAGACTCGGTCCCGCGACGCGTCAACGGCAACGGGTTTTAGCAAGGCTGCCTTTCTGGATGCTTTATTCGGGAAGGAACGGTGACGTCATGTACTGAACATAAGCTTCTCGTAGCAGGTGCGCGTGTCGAATTTACGGGATCATAAATTTTTCGTAAAGTTTGTTGAAATTTATAAATTGTCGCTACATTGCGGGCAAATCTCGATTTTGAAGAATTTCAGGACAAATTTCTCGGACATCGGTGTGAAAAACAATGTAAATCATTACTATGTGAATTCTTTTTATGTATTGTATTTGTCAAGAAGATAGTGGTTTGTGTATTCGTACTGTATGACTATATGTTTTTTTTTTTAAGATTGCACACATGTAAATTTTATTGTATAGAATGAGCTGTATTGATTGCGTACTTTTTTTTTTTTTTAAATTGTTAATACACAAGGGACAAGCCAACACAAAAATAGATTTTCGCAAAGTGTCTGCTGCATATTCTATTGTCACACATTCTACTGACAGATATAAAAAATTTAACAAAACATGACATCGAAGATTTGTCGAAGCTGAATTTATGTTCTTCGATTGTATATTTTGGTCAAATATATAGCAGAGATACTTTGCTTTGCTGAATATTCAATATTAAACACAAGTATACATATATATATATATATATATGTAAACATATATGATTACAAAACATTGATTACAAAACTCTTCAGTGTAGAGATTATTCAACCATGGATTCGGAAGAAGAAACACTTTATGATGAAGTTGACTCTGGTAATGAGTCAAGTGGAGATGATGTTGACTTTGCTATGGAAATAGAATCTGGTAATCCTCGTGAACGATCTGCTGATGTAGATGAATATCCTTTCGAAGTTCTTTCCACAGAAGAGATTGTGCAGCACATGATTGATTCAATAAAGGAAGTTAACACAGTTGTTGAAGTAAGATTTAGAAATTTATTTATATATGCAAATAAAGTTCTCAAGATATATATAAAATAATATTTTATATTATTCTCTCTAGATACCTGCAACAATCACACGTATTTTATTAAATCATTTTAAGTGGGACAAAGAAAAATTGATGGAACGGTTTTACGATGGTGATCAAGAAAAATTGTTTGCCGAAGCTCATGTTATTAATCCGTTTAGAAAGAATCCTTTAATTAGTAGGAGTAGATCATCCCAAAGTTCTCTGGTAAATACAAATAATTTACTGTCTATGTTTTGTGATATAAAATAAATTACTTTGTGAATAATTTATATTATGTATATTTACAATGTCTAACAGTCTAAAAGAATAACAAACGGAACAGAGGAATGTGGAATCTGCTTTATGATCCTGCCATCTTCGGTAAGTTTAATTTCAACAAAAATTTGTAAAAGATATATAATAACTTCTTTTAAACTTGGATATTTCTGGATCAAAGTGCTCAGATTTGAGAGTTAAATCCAGACTTTCTTGTGTAAAATAAAGAAATGTTGCAATTGATATAAAAATTATGAAAGAATGAAGAACAAATAAAGAGTCATAAGTCTGTTTATTTTTTTTTGAGCATTTTTGTTTTATACTGTTGAGAAAGACAAACGTATAAGAGAATGAAAACAAACTCCGAGTTTTTTTTTAACAGAAGCTACTGTATATGAGAATGTGTGTATATAGTAATGAGAAATGTGTGATATACTAATAAGAGTCTTATTAAAACAATATCAGATGATGACTGGTCTCGAATGTGGCCATCGTTTCTGTATGGGCTGTTGGGGGGAATATTTAACAACCAAAATTATGGAAGAAGGGGTTGGACAAACCATAGCGTGTGCTGCTCATGCTTGCGATATTTTAGTTGATGATGCCAGCGTTATGCGACTTGTAAAGGATTCCAAAGTTAAACTGAAATATCAACACTTAATTACCAACAGTTTTGTTGAAGTAAATACTCAATATAAGTATACATGTTTATAATAGGAAAGTGGATTTTATAAACATCTCGACTTTTGTTTTCTGTGAAATTCAGTGAAGATATATTTGTATGTGATTGTGTTTTGTTCTTTTTCATTGTAGTGCAATAGATTGCTGAGATGGTGTCCGTCACCTGATTGCAACAACGCCATTAAGGTACAATATGTAGAGGCTAGGCCGGTCACTTGCAAATGCGGACATATTTTTTGTTTTTATTGTGGTGAGAACTGGCATGACCCAGTAAAATGCCATTTACTCCGCAAGTGGATTAAAAAATGCGATGACGATTCTGAGACATCAAACTGGATCGCTGCTAATACAAAGGAATGTCCGAAATGCAACGTCACCATTGAGAAAGATGGGGGCTGTAATCATATGGTTTGCAAAAATCAGAATTGTAAAACTGAATTCTGTTGGGTGTGTCTAGGGCCGTGGGAACCACACGGTTCTAGCTGGTACAATTGTAATCGCTATGACGAAGAGGAAGCTAAAGTTGCACGGGATGCACAGGAGAAATCCAGATCGGCATTACAAAGATACTTATTTTATTGCAATAGATATATGAATCACATGCAATCGTTAAAATTTGAGAGCAAATTATACGCAAGTGTGAAAGAAAAAATGGAAGAAATGCAGCAACATAATATGTCGTGGATTGAGGTAAATCAGTGTAATTATAGTGTGAATAGTAATGTCCATAGTAGTGTAGTGTAGTGATGATTCACGTGCACAAAAATATAAAAAACTGTGTACATATCAAAAGGTATGGAATGTTCCTCTTAATTTGCAGGTACAATTTTTAAAAAAAGCTGTTGACATTTTGTGTTCCTGTAGACAGACTCTTATGTACACTTATGTCTTCGCTTATTATGTAAAAAAGAACAATCAGTCTGTGATTTTTGAGGATAACCAAAAAGATTTGGAAAGCGCCACGGAATGTCTGTCCGAATATCTTGAAAGGGATATTACAAGTGAAAATCTTGCGGATATTAAACAAAAAGTTCAGGATAAATATAGGTATTATACAAGTTTGTGCTATTATAAAGATATTTTTCCAGCATGTTTATATGAACGTTACAACATAAGTATTGTTTACTTTTGAAGATACTGCGATAGCCGACGAAAAGTGCTTTTGGAACATGTTCATGAAGGATATGAGAAGGAATGGTGGGACTACAAGGAATAGAGGATGTCCTTGACTAGTTACATTTTTTTGGGGTGTGACGTACACACAGGTTCTCTTCCTTCCCACCTCTGCCCCAGCTGTGATAAACCACGAAAGGACACATGAGAGACAGAATAGAGCATGTCACAAAGTGATAAATGTGTTATATGCACTTTATACATAAATATGCTCTTTGGTCACACGTGTAATGTCGTTTACGATAAATATTGAGAAGATCGATCTATATTAAAATTCAATTCAGTCACCAACAAATTGATTGGACAATATTTTGATTTAATGCTTGCTGTGTGTTGTATATTATTGTAGATTCTTCATCCTTAAAACAATGTCTCACTGGTTTAGAGGTAATAAGAATATTAGTTTAACACAACATGAACAAAAAACCGAAATATTATTATTATTATAATTATTATTATTATGTTTATCAATATTATTATTATGTTTAGCAATGCTTTGTGGTATGAAATATCTTGGCTATCTTATTTAATATGATTTTTATAATCGATGACATGTGCATCATTTGCAAATTTTCTGTTAAAATTGATTTATTTTATTCCCACAATTGTAAAAAAAAAAAAACTGTAAACTGAGTCGGGTACAACCAATCGTCGTCACAACTTTTTTTGTTCTCTTTTGGACCACGATACGTCCAGGCTATAACTGCCAATCTTTAAGAGACAGTAAATTTATAATGTGCGTATCGTCAGTGCTATGTATTCATCTTTAATGGTGAGGTTCTCCCGTTCTCTTGCTTGTATATAATTTTAAGAATGCTAAATATACTGATACACAAGATATCTAGTAAACTAGTAAAATTAATATGATTATTTCTCCTTATTTTGCGTCTGTGTATATATGTATAGGAATACATATATACATACGTATATAAATTATAAATTTGTAGACGTATAATTTCTTTTTTTTTTTTTTTAAAGAAACCACATTCGTGTCAGTTAGCTCGTACTGACATTGCGCAGTTTAAAGGGGGCCAAGTTTGTGATATCCTTCACATGTGTATTGTATTTCATCTCTGCAAAAACAGAATGTGCACTACACGGTTGTCTAGTTGTAGACAAGTATTCGCATTGTCCCACCTGATTTCTTTCTTGTACTTTCAGTAGTTTACATCTTAAATGTTACGTATTACAATATATATTCTTGTTTGATCGTATTTATTATGATATCTCGTTTTATACACAATAACAACTCTATATTTAAGTTTCACGTTATCGTTTTTTACCATCTATCGTCATTGGTTTCATTATTAATTTTTTTATTTTGATCTGTTTGTTTGCTGTATAACTGCATAACGCTGACGATATGTTTTATATATCATTAGCTAACTAATTGAAGATTAATGATTACAATAAAGTATAAATGGATTACCTATTAATGTCAGAGATAAGTGAAAGACATGTAAGATGAGTTCCATTTGTACAGTTAATATATATATAGTATGTATCACACACAGTCAAACATGATAAAATCCACATTTGCGTATTGACCAGCAAATGTGCATATTCATACCTTTACATTTATTAGTTATATTTTGACTGTAATATATATACATATATATACACACACGTACATATATATTCATATAATTAAATAGAAATTCAGAAAAAATTTAAACATGATAATGCATAATATAGCACAGTAAAATAGGAAATTGTGAAGAGTTACTAAACAAAGAAGAGTTGTTGATTCTTGCTATTGTGCACATCTGAAATGAAAAGTTAAAATGCAGTTGTTTTCTGTACAGTCGCAAAATTTGATTAGATGTAAGAATTGTTAGGTATATTTGCCAGAAAATCTCTAGTTTGTGGTTTTATAATCTGTATTCACTTGATTCATAAATCATATATACATATATATATATATATATATATAATAGCATATTATATATAAATCATCTTTCTGATCTTGTATAAAAATAAAAACTCGTAAATGTGTTAAAAGTTCTTAAATATATGACCCAAACTTTTGTGTGTTGTTAGGTGGAATCTTTGTATTGATGAAAACTATGTAGCATATATGAAAATTGTTTAGCTACCAAATATTAAATCATGTCTTTAAAAACTTATGTAATTAATGAAATACTGACTTTTAATTACTTTTTAGTTGAATCGTAGACTACAAAAAACTCTGCTGTCAAATATTTCATTGTTCATTCAACTACGAAATTTATGAGTATTAAAACTGATGATATAAAACATATATTGATAATAAAAACCAACTATTTTAACTTAGTAAAGTATTTTATTTAGCGAGAAATATGATAATATATATATTAGAAAAAAAATCATGGCGTTATTCTTGTAACAAATCATCACACATATCATATCCGTTATCAGACTTCTGTAAAAGTAGGATTTTCATCATTGATTTATTATATTTTATAGTATATGTGCATATATGTGTGTGTGATATTAACCCTTTGAATCTCGAAAATTCTTCGATTGCTTACAAAAATCATTATTACGTAATAGTTATGTTTATTTGGAAGGAAAAAATTTTTCGAAGAAAAACATTCCTCTTGAGTCAGTCAAAAATAATGTTCTTTACTACTTAAAAATAATACTGCAATGTGTGCTTAAAACTTTATTTTATTGTTAATTATACGCAATCTGAAGTTTGCTATACATAACGCATCGGAATCAAAGGGTTAAAACTGGTATATATTTTTTATATTATTATATTATGAGTGACTTTTGTTTGTAATAGCACATATAATTGCTCTCCTTGAAACAATATTTAAATTCTCGTAACAGCAACGTGTGCTCTAACCCTGTAAATTTCCAATAATATCTGTATGATAATTTCAAATAATATCTGTATGAAAATTTACTCTGAATGAAACCACATCAGAATCTTCTACTTCGCTACAAAAGTAATTGCGAAAAAACATTGACCAATAAAAATTAATATTCTTCTGTCCTATTAATAAATCCACAAATAATGATTATAAAAAAAAGATCGTTATTATTGTATAAAAGTATTTATTCTCTCTTTCTGAATATTGCATATAAAATTTTTGTAAGTAATAGAATATATCAACATATACAAGACAAAAGAGAAAGTCGCTAGTATTTCATCGTATATCACTATATTGTTTCTAGCCATTGTTTTTTTCACCGATATTACATATATTTCTTAAGGTTTATATATATATATATATATATATAAACTATAAGGTTTATATATATATATAAACTATAAGGTTTATATATACATATATAATCGTATCGAGACGCGATCAGTTTTGATCAAAAACATATTTAAAAAATTTATTATTTAAAATATATTCTCTACCTAAAATAAATTATAAATAAATAGATTGTGTCTACCTAAATTCAATAAATTTTTTGAGATTCTTTATAGAAAAATTTGTATAATAATTTCTCCCCTCAATTTTGAGTATTACTATTATAGAAATTATATAATATTTAAAAAAATGCCTATATATTGTGTAAAATTAAATAAGATATTCTGCCTATTAATTTCACTAGTTTATTATAAAGATATTATAATAGGAAACTAGTGTCATTGTCTGTCGCTCATGCTATATGTGCGCTGGAGTTATATAAAAAGTAGGACGATTCTAAGCCGAGTGACATTGATATGAAAATTGTATGTGTCATCACGTTGGAGTATCTTTTGTTAATTTTTGTATGTTTCTCGTGTAGACGTAGCAAGCGATCCGTTTGTATCACATCGTTGGTCCGATGTTCGTGTAAAATGTGATTGTGTGTATAAGAACGTTATAGAAACCCCCCCCCCTCTCATCACATCTCTCTTTCGGGAGTGTTCTCGTCAAGTATAAGTACGCGAGATTCTTTAGACGAAACGATTTCGAAACTGCACGATCTCGTAAGGCTTCATCAGGGAGTCACCGACAAGATTGTAGCTATTAAACCAAGAGTCGCTCCCGTCATTAACAGACTCCTCCAAATTGCTCCGCTAATTTCTTCAGCCACAGGATATTCCACGCACAAGTGCTCCTACAGAGAATAATACAAGGTATACATATAATTTTAAGCAAAAGGCTACTTTTTAAATGATAAAAATGTATATACATATGCGAAAACTTACCCATCCACCATAGCCTTTAATATAATGCGCTATGTTTTCGCTGACATATCTAGAGATATACAGTGGCAACCTCTTTTTAAGACAGTGCATTCTTCTGTCTCTGGCCCACAAAGCCAATCTTCCCATGAAAGCGTATAAGCAAACAATTTTGGCCCATGTGATAACGCCATGTAAAAATAACTCGTTGGCAATTCCCGTAAATGTTTCGTACGCGGTATCTGGGACAACATTCAAACGGTTCACCATACTCGTGAAGAGTATGCTGTGTTTGTTAAGCATCTGATACACATTATGCCTCATACTGCGAGACACTGGATCCTGGGACATAAGGTAGATATCTTCCTTCAATAAGTACCGTATTACATCATTGGCCAAACTCTCCGCTGTTGATTCTATAGAATCTTTGTGAATATTGTACTTCGGGGGTAGGCCTAATTGTGGGAAAAGGTGCTGCAGTCGAATCTGAAAAAACAACCATAAGACATCTTGAACCAAAACTGGTTTATAAAAAACATAATTGTGTGTTGCAAGAGGCAAGAGACAGCTTGGTGAATCGCTGCTAGCATAGTAACACTAGGCCAGCCGCGAAAAAAGAATTCGAATCTCGCCGTTTTACATCGAAGTCTATCTTGTCAAAAATTGCAGGTCCACGAGTAAGAATAGAGAATGTAATCATCGGTAAAGATAATATGAAAAATCATAATTCTAAGAGCTGATAAACAATGTCTAGTGCAAAATTAATGTTAAAAACAAAATTTGTTTTAAAAAATCATACAAAATCGTACGGGTTCACGAGTTTCTTCCTAACTGTCATTTCAAAAATGTTTGACAAATGGGACCGGTTGGCGACAAGAACGATCGAAAAACTCTCTGCCGGATATATGATACCTGGCACATCTCGAAGAAAGACATTGCACGGTTAGCAGCGCCGACCGCATATCGGCAGACACCGTCCTCGTTGTCGTCGGCGGCGGCGGCGGATCGCTCGTTCGACGAATTCCTGTTACCGGGGGGATCACATTCCAGAATACCGCCCACTCTGGAATGCAGTTCCCCTCGCGCTGACGTATCTTGCCCCTCCTCACCACCTCCCGCGCCACGAATCTCATTGTTCGTTGCTGTTCCGTCGTCGCCGGCCATCCTTTCTCGTACTGGAACCAAGCGAGGAATCGTTTTTTTTTCCCAATCTGTCTCTATCAGAGAGAGTAGCGGTCTTCGTACGGTTCACACCGTCGCTTCCGTCGTGAGATCGTCGTTTAATAGTTTATTAACACACGCACCGTATTCTCACATCTCGTATTCCGGAATTGTGTCCGGTGCGTGAATCGATCGCATCCGATGTTCCCGGATGCGAGCCGCGGTGGTGCTCCAGAAACTTTGACTCGCTCCAACAACCGACCCGAACTTTGACGATCCCCAAACCCGGCCAATCTCCGTTCCAGCCTGCTGTCAGCCAGCGACGAAACGCGCTGCGCTCTCTACTTTCCCGCGGCCATTTCTGAAGCCGCCGAGGAGCCCGAAACCGCGCTGCGCCGCGTTTTCCTCCTCTCTTTCTCTCTCTCTCTCTCTCTCTCTCTCTCTCTCTCTCTCTCTCTCTCTCTCTCTCGTTCCGTCGCGTCGCACCTAAACTCCGGTCTACCGCTCCCTCGGCTTGGCCTGCCGATGTGCCACCAACCAGCCGACTCACCGATGTTTCACATCACTACCACTACCGCTTATCTCGACTCTCTTACCCCACACCGGCCGCGCGTTGTGTATGACGTAGCTCAGTGTTTTTCAGTTTTCACGCTCCGCAATCCCCGAGTCTGATTCGCGAGCGGAAAACATCGCGCGACCTGATTTCGCAACGTTTCACGGATAACCTCGACGCGTGAGAAACGTAACACTTTTTGTGTATTACGACGACGATAAATACAATGCGCGATATCCTCTCAACGGATGGTTGTTAGTGTGCACGACGTTGCACGTCACTCTTACGCGAGAGATCGACTGCGGGGCGGTTGAAAACCTCTGGCATAAACGCAGAGCGCGGAGCGAACCGAGCGATCGCCGACGGCACGCTCACTATCGCACCGCTGCCCACACCGACGCACACAAGCGCGCAGACTCTCTATGGATCATTCACGTTTTCGCCCCACCGCGATGCCGCCCCGACACGTGCACCGTATCTGTACACACGTCGAGTGCGCGCGCGCGCGCGAACGTGCACGAGTGTGCGCACTCGTCGTCCGTGTTTGCCTCCTTCTCGCGCTCTGGACCGCTCGCTCGCCTTCTTCGCGAGGCCAGCGAGGCGCCGCCGATAACCTCAAGCCTTTCTAGCATGCGCTCATGTCAGTATGCCAAAAAATGTACAAGTACAGGGTGGAGAGAAGGAACGTTAAAAATCAATAAACCCTCTTCCCCCGGCGCGCGTTCTCACGCACGTGCGCGCAAGAACGCGAGCGAGTTTTACCTGTGTGATCATGTGCGATGCATATATATGTAGAATCTTTCTCTTTCTCTCCTCCGTGTGCGCATGTGTGTGAACGGTGGAAAGGAATTTTCGATGGAACGCGAAGTTCATTCGAAAGATGAAGTACATACCACATATCTCTCCCGGTAACGCGCGTGTTGGCGAAAAGCCAACGGCCATTGCAACACACACGCTTCTCTCTCCGCACGGACGAAGAATTTTGAAAACATTTCCTTGAATTAAATAAAGGCAATTCTCTCTATCGTTTACTTACGTTAGAGTGAAATGCTATCCGGAAGGTTGCTGGGAGAGTCGTGTATAAATTGGAGCCGCTGAAATCGAAACTGTTTTGTTGATATTTACAGATATCCAGATAATTCTCAGTATCTTGGAACGAGCAGGAATCCGGATACTCAAATTACATTATCTTGCCGAAATGAGTAGCTCCGGTTTATCACGAGTATTGCTTTCGTTTCGAGTTACTGCTTACGTTATATCTCGATAAGTGATTCATATTCATTCAGTTCTCTTTCATTCGCCTCTCTCTCTCTCACTCTCTCTCTCTCTCTTTCTTTCTTTTTCTCCCTCTCCGCGTCTCGGATTCCTGAGAGAACTGTGCTGCACGCGGATACTCGCGAGAGATGCATTATTCGCCGTGTAGCAACACGACAAACGGTGAAAGTCTCGATCGCAGCTACTAACCCACAAGTTAGACGAAATATATCGTCTGAAATAAAACTGATCAATATTTGTAAATTTGAATCGGTTTATCGAAAAGAAAATATGGAAGATATATATATATATATATTTTTTAAATTACTTTTTAATGTGTAAATAATTACTGATATAACAGAACGAACTTTTTTTCGCGTTCAATGTGTTTAATGTCGCGCATGTCAGCAATCGAATCCGTTAATCTCTAACGCGCTCTTATAGATAGTAAATGTAACAATCCTTAAACAATATTTAAACAATGAGACAACGTGGGAGATGTTCAGTGAATGCTCGGTCCGGTGAGTACCACAAATGCATTTCCACGAAAGGATTATGCTGAAACTGGTCCGTGTGTTAAGAGAGCCGGTCCCGGCTCGCGATCTCCGCTCCGCGGTCATCAGTAACGTAATCGGATAAGCGTGTACCCGCTCGCGTGTGCCGCTTGGTACCAACGACAAAAACATGTACATACGACCGATCGTATTCCCATAGAGCGGGGAGTCTCCCTCTCAATCGGTATATATTTATATCCGGTTTTTACACGATACATCAAATGAGAAAAGAACCGACGATCTCTCGATGGTGCAATTTCGTTGGCGCATTCTCACAGACAGAATCGACTTTATACGTCGTCTTGTTACATGACCTCCTCTCCTTGCAAGTAAAGGGAGAGAGAGAGAGAGAGAGAAACAGCGCGAAAGAAATTCCCCTTCTAGTTTTACGTTCCTGCCGCCTGTCCCGTGCCGCGCACCACGCGCGCGACCGTGCCTACCACTCCTTTCTGCCGGCGGTGCAACCTTCAAAGGCCACTGAATGCGTTCATGAATGAAGTAGGAAAGTTGCTTGGAGTACAGATCGACCGGATGTGTGCATACTAGGTGGGTAAGAAAACGAGAACCCGGGCGACTTACTACGTCAGAGCCGCCCGAGTCGCTGTCGATCAAACCAGTTCCAGATCACTGCCGGTGATACGGACTAATGTACCGTATCCGTGATCGTTTTACGCCCCTTTACAGATATAGACTTGGCTTTAGAAATAAGACAACGCGCTCGTGCGCCATTCTAGTTTAATTGCGGATATGCAGAAGTCTGTTTCCGGAACCAGTTTTGCAGAGAGAGAGAGAGAGGAAGGAGAGAAAAAGAACGAGAAACAGAACTCAACGAAGTTTTAGACACTGTTTTTTTTCTTTTTTTTTTCACACCAGAGAGTTTCTTATAAGATAATATCTCTCTCCCTCTTTTAGAAGCGTCACGTGTTTTTTGCCATTCAGGATTCATTCACGCTTTATCGACGATGCAACGGCGCGCGCGATCCGAAGCATCTCTGCGCGGAGAGTCTTACCTTTCACAACGGCGAGTAAAGTAGCGGTGCGCCGAAGATGTTGAAATATATATATATATGTATATATATATATATACATATACATATATATTGCCGGACGAGAGAACAAATTGACAAAATGACTCATGTGTAAATGAGATATGATAGGTTCAAATTATTTCCGTGTCGCTTCTTAGATCAACGAAATCCAGGGCAGGAGAGAGAGAGAGAGAGAGAGAGAGAAAAAAAACACTAACCACACCACGTGGACATGGTCCTGACGATTTAGCGAGAAGTTTTTATTGCTGCTTGCGACGCGCGTAATATAATGAATTATTACATTACGGCGATTGTCTCTGAATTGACGCATCGGTAACGTACGTGCGTACGGTACGATTTTCGTTGCACGAAATGGACCGTGGGAATGACGATGTGGCGCGCGAGCGAACGGCGCGCAATATTTCAGGGGAACTGCCTGTCTCTCGGTAGCATTTTCTTACCGTCATTCATGATACTACAGTATGGCAATAGGATGATTGCTTGACGGTCGGTGACTAAAGTGGATAAAGCCTTCTACAGTAATCTAACACGAGCCAGGGCGCAGGAGTGCAGAGCTTATGGGCCCACTCTCTCCCGTTCCGTTTTTTTTTTTTTTTTTTTTTTTTTTTTCTATCCCGTACAGCGAATCGTCGCTCCTTGCAACGCCGCGAATGGATTGCAATATGGCGGATACTAAATGCTCGCGGGATCATCGCGAGGTTTCAAATCTACGGAGTATGCTTGCGGGGACTCGACACTTTCTTCAGGCTGGCTCCGTGCTACAGATACAACAAACATGTTTATTTTCCAATCCGGTGGATTTTCCGCGCGCGTACGCGGGTGTAAGACTTGTTTATGTTGCGATTTGCGAAAACAACGAAATGATAGTCGGGATGGTCGAAAAATTCGATTGTAATTCATTCAAGATAAACAAGGATTTTGATTCGCCCGATTTTTCGACGTCCCTGGAATACGGCAGTAGTACTAACCCTGCTAACAGATTGACAGACATACTCACCGTGAACTGACCCCTCCGTGATTTAGTTATGTCTCTATGGACGCGTCGCCAAGTTGCGCGTGTTTGATATCAGCGTAGAAAGTAGACAGAAGTGACAGAAGTGGATGAAGTGGCTCATAGAAGTTCGACATCGTGCGATTCGCTCACGTTCTTTTTGTTGAATGAGCTTTTCTGGCTCGACATCGTTTCGAGATATTATGATTAGGTGAGTTTTCTCATCGCTGTATGGGCAAAAGTCAGAATGTTTTTCACATACAAACATAACTAATAATAATAGTTAATGATTGAGACACATCCGAAAGATTTACCAATTGGAAAATTTATATTTCGCTTATTATTTCTTTTGAAATTTTTCTCTCGCAATCCTCGTGATATCTCGTTTGATATTTATAGATCAATGTTTTTTTAATATATTTGACGTACTTTTGATTTTATCGTGAATCTTAGTGTTTCGTTTTGTACGCAGAAAGCGGTTTCCTCTCATCACCGATGAAGAAATAACGAACGACGAATTTTTTAAATATCATTTCTTTGTTAAGGTAGAACAACAAAACTGCGTTAAAGATCAGCTCCGATATTTCATTTGTGAATCCCATCGAGAAATATTAGGTTGTTCATTTGCGTGACAGCTACTTAGGGGCAATAAACCATCATATTATGAAAAAAAAAAGTGGGTTGTGCATAGAACGACGAAGAAACGACGTCGAAAATGATGGCGCGAGATCTTTAATGCGCGAGCTTCTTTCTTCTTTCGCTTGACGCGTTTCGCGTGGCGAAATTACCTCGTGATTGCGCTTCTTCCATCGAGAAGCGCACGGGAATTTCCTCTCTTTTCTACTCTCGGATGTAACATAGCGCCAATATCCAGGCGATGGTACGGTCGAGCACTGCGAGCGGCGCTCACTCAATCCGCAACACGTTTTTGCATTGCTTTGCCGGTTGATTGCCCCTCGAGCATGCCGATGATGACGTCAGCATTCTGGATGAGTCACTACTCGGTTAATTCGCGTAGCACGAGCGAATAACATACGTACGTACGTATGTACGATCGTATGCGCGCATAATTCGGTATGCATTTGCACGCTGCCTCGCAAAGAGAGAAAAAGACAGAAAACATGAAAAAGAAAAAAAGAATTGAGATGAGATGAGCGTTCTTTTCGCAGTTTCCCTCTACTTCGGCATTAACACACGCTGTAAGTTTCGCCAGAGATAACGATATCCCGTACTGTCAGAGAAGACACGATCTAAAGATATATATGCGGTCGTTTTTATCGAGCACGTGATTCTTATTTACGGCATTAGAGTGCAATCAGATATATTCTTATACATATATATAGTTATGTGTCACAAACCATACATACAATATATTTGTATTATAAATATGTAAACATGTATATACACGTATATAATGTACGTATTATAAAACCGGTGTGGTCTGTTATATATACACACAAATATATGTATATTACACAGTAAAAAAAAAAATGTTAATTTTAACATTTTTTGCATGTCCCAGGAGGTCCACTCTAAATTTTAAGTTAAAACAACTTATTCGTTGTGAGTCACTTATTGACAAACTAGTAAAGTTAAATAATTGACACAATACTTTACATTTATATTTGTTATTTTGACTGTAAGCGTGATGTAAAAATAACATATAAAATAATTAAAACTGCACAAAACAATAGTTACAGTAACTCGTAAGAAAGTTAAATGTTAATAAAACATTTTAGTTTGTACAATGTGGCCAAAGATTTGAAAAATTTTTTCAGTGTGTTAAATTGACTTTGAAACATCTAGATTAATTGAAATCATTGTGTTAAAAGCACTTAAACAATATTCCATTTTTAAATGACATGCAAAAAATGTTAATTTGTGAAGTTAACATAAATTTGACACGTGAAAAGATTAAAAAAATAATAACATATCAGTATTATGTTAATTTTACATTGAAGTAATAATCAAAACGTCGTAACACAAGAAAAGTTCTACATTTTGACGCACAATTTTTTACTGTGTATATACATGATTTGTGTGTACGTGTGTGTATAGAACAAGTAAATGCAGATACTTTTATCACATAATTTGTAGATCGTGCGAACTTACCTGAATCCAAATCACACCGATTTAAAATCCAAAATAGGATTATAGAATATAGAAGCAATTTAAACATGGCGATTTTTATTTATTATTTTTGTAAACACATATATAATGTAATTTGACATAAACTTCGAAATGAGAAGATGATAATCAATTTGTACGCGCGCATCGTTCTCAAGTATGCTATATTCATATATGTATGTAATAACAAGGACGGAGAGACGTTGTTAATTGCACGCATACATAATATAGTACCTATTATATAATGCCATTGTAAATAACTGTCTTTATATATCGTAAATTTATAACTTTTCTGTATTTGCCTCAACGCATATTGTTACATCAATACAACATTCTGGTACTTTTTAACGACGCACGCGCAGCTTTGGGAAAATAAAAAGATAAAAATAAAAAAAAAAGAGATAAAAATACACGCGGAAGACGTTCGCGACTTGAGGAAAGGCGCGAGAAGAGTTTTTTCGTGCAAGCACGGTCAAGAAAGTTTGATGAGGGATATGTACAGTGGCGAGAAAATGCTTTTACGCATGAAGTTGCATCTTCGTTGTAAGGTATTATTGAGACAACATTATTGGTGCACAACTTTCACACACATTCATATGTGTAAAAAGCACTTACGCCCGCGGCCTGTACTTTATTATATTCTAATGGCTAAAATCGATTCGATTACACGCACGATTGATTTGCATACGCGACATTGTCGTATATCAATCGTCAAGTGACGCAAATGGTAAACAGTAGAACGTGATGAGAAGTGATTTTCTGAGCGACATTTCGTACAGAATGTACATATAAGCTCGCAGGTATATTTAATTTTGATCTGAAATCTTTGATAAGAACACTCGGTTTTCTGCTCTCAGCAGCACTCTTGTTTGCATTCGTTCAATAAGATAGAACGTACTAATTTGATTGAGAAAATGATTGTAACAAAAAATCAGATCGGACCCACAACAGAATTTGGTCACGAGAATTTAATCGCGACACAGTTCTCAAATTAAATGCGACAGCGCTTGAAATCGATCGAGCGATTTCGATATTCTCAAGTACGTGAAACTCGTTTTTTTTTTTTTTTTTTTTAAAAAACAAAATTATACAGTTATAACACGATGATTCATAACAAAGTGTGTGCAAAGAGTAACGCGAGAAGCTGAGTTTCTCTCGACTTTGGCGTCCGTTAAACACCGTGGTAAGACTTACGGCAAACACTCGCGCAATTATCGCGTTTCCGCTGGTACGAATCTCTCGATCAACATGTATCTTTTTACAGTCGATAAGCATGAATAATTGACACGCCGTTTTTCTGCGCAATTATTAATGACCACGTTATTTTCTTTCAAGGTTTATTTCACTTCATCATTTTATTTTAATCTGACTATATATTTGACAATTGCGATAGTTTTTTTTTTTTTTTTTTTGCAAATTTTCTTGAAGTCAAAAATAAAGACAAAAAAATAACGTGAGACTTGACAAAAAAATTGAGAGAAAAAATAGAGATGAAAAACTATAACGAGAAAAATAATATAAAGAATATTATGTATAATATCTATATATCCATTTGTGTGTGTGTGTTTAATTATAACAGAGATTTATTTGAATAAATTAAAAAAAAAAGTGAAAAACTTTGGTATGATATTTTTGTAACATATGAAATAATAAACTCGATAAGATTTAATTGCAAAATATAACACAACGTCCTTGTCAATTCAAATGAAAAATTTCGGCAAAACAAATAAAAACACATAAATTTCCACAAATATTGATTTATTGATGCGACGTTTTTATTATAACACACAATATCGTTGCGTGTAGATACGCGTTACACTGCTTGCTTGTGTAATATCTTGAGCGTTCACTGCGTGAACGTGTGTGATACATATCTTCTCGCGAAGATTTAAGATTGCACAATCGGACGAAATGAGTGGAAACGCGAAATTAGGTGCGTTAACGCGCAGGTTGTCACGCACGAACATGTTCGCGGAATATTTTGTCAACGCTCTAAGCAAGAAACACGACAAAATAGAACAATCTTACGCAATGACGTCTGCACATCAGATTATTGTGTATCGTAAAATTTGTTACGAATCGGAATCTAATCTTTAAACGATTTTACACCACCGATTTTCGTTTTCTTTCGGAGTCTCACTTCGCATTGTTCGGTTCCATCTCCGAAGCTCATCTGCTTCTCTTTTTTTTTCTTTTCCGACACGACGTGACACAAATTGGCGCGATAGAAAACACTTTGGCTGTACATTCCGGCCGCGATGATCGTAGTGGGGGAATGCCGATTTGTCGCAGTATCACCCTATATAAGCTTTGTGATTTCTCGTCTCGCTTCGGTAGTTCCCCATTTCGGGTGAACACTTCGAAGCTTGGCAAGCAGACACACTGTGAGTAAAACATCTCTTTTTTCGCAAAATTAGTGTTAAATTGAAACTCTTGCGCTATGTACGTAACGACCGACAGTATATTTAAGGAAATTATTGTTATATATAGATACTTTTTTTTTTATAAAAACATTATTTACTTTACTAAACATATACTAAATTTTATAATTATTTACAAATTTTGAAGATTTATAGAATCTGGGGCTTTTTTATTGAATTAAAAAGCTTAATTGAACTTTGGAATACATTTCATATTTTTGTTAGACTTCGTGAAACATAGTTAATCCAATATTTAGCTAAAAAAAAGCGTACATAGTGATGAAGCACACATATTTTTTGACGAAATCGTACTGATAAAGCTGATAACAATAAGACTAAATTATTAAATAGGTCGGGTAATGTTTTAGCACACGTTCATTGGTAGCTTCGAAAAACTATCGATGTTTGCGCTTGTATTAATCATCATGCGCAAAATATGAGTCGTAGATGAAACCTCTTCGCTTAGCACGAGAATCCAAAATTATTCGGCAAACAAAATTGTAACGCCATACTATAAGAAACGCGTCACATGACTATCCGCGGAACGACAATTGAGAGAGAGAGAGAAAGAGAGAGAGAGAGAGNATTGAGAGAGAGAGAGAGAGAGAGAGAGAGAGAGAGAGAGAGAGATAGAGATAGAGAGAAAGAAAGAGAGATGCTTTATTTCTTTAGGTTATAACCGGTTGAAACCGCTACTTGTTTCCTCGCACTTTTTTACGTAACCGGTTAAAACTGCTTTCGAGGATCTTAATATCGTCCGTAAGGGTTGAATTGCGTTCTCCCAATAATTGGACGATTCCATCGAGTACGATCATGTGCTCTTCTGCACCAACTCGCACATGTACAATTCGCGTCTCGCCATTATTTATACACTTGTTGTTTGTGTCTCGCGTCGCAGCATCCACCGGCCTCTGATGTTATGACTGAAGAACTGATCCTTGCTCCAGTCTCAACTACAGACACCTGTAGCCGTTTATCTATTACGTCTATTTTTTATACGCGATCGTTATCGATAATTGATTTGATATTGATTTTTTTAATAAAACAAATCTCGGAAAACATGTGTTCAGACAAGATTTATTCTCGGGGGAGAATACGGTTGTTTTCGCACGCGTGCATACCATTATCACTTTGCCCCTACCACGATGTATCATATCGGTCGGAAACACGTATGTATGAACGTACGTTGGATGATGGTCACTACCGCCAACGAGCATAGTGGTCCATGTTATAGTGGGAGGTATAGCAGGTAGCTACTCTTTTAGCGTTTCGACGCTCGGACACTTCGTTCGCAAGCATCGCGCGGGTCAAGCATCATCAAATGCCGGGTTGCGATTTGACGCAGCTTTAGATTCAACGGCGCGTCAAAAGAGTGTCGAACACGATCCCCGTGCTTGATCTCTCTTTTCACGAGTGCATTTTCGCGTCGTCGCGTTTAAGAGTCGTCGTTCGCGTACACACACGAATGAACAATCCACCAAATCGCTGTCCATGTCACATCCGTGCGACGTTCGACGTACATCGGAGTCGGCCGTTTCGGAGTCCTGTGATTATCGCCATCAAATCGCGAGATTCGATTTATTTACATTTTCGCGATAAAAGGGAAGCAAACGTGCGCTACGATGCATTCCTGAAGAAGACAGCGAGATGTTTGGCAATTGATCGTGACACAATCCCTCGCAAAGAAGTCGAAAAGTAAAACACAATATATACGAGCATAATTCTCCTTAGCGAATACGACGAAAGATTGCGAGAATTGTGTTTGTTGTATTGCGTAGTAGTTGTTGCGTCCGAAGACGAGAAATTCACATCGTCCAAGGAGTTCTCACGGAGAGCGCAACGAGATCATCGCGCGAATTATCGCTTCCCGAAGTGGGAAACCGATTCACAGCCGAAGAACAAACCTCATCGAATAACGTTCGGAAAGAAGGAGTATTCTCGCGGAACTCGATTAAGAACCTTTATCTCAAAGTAAGTGTCATAAAATACACGTTAATGAGCAAAACAATATTTTTTACGTACGCGCAATGTTGAAAACGCAAAACCGCACATGTTGATTTTGAACCTTACGTTGCGTTGGGAATAACAACAAATATTGCTTCGAACATCTTGCGCATTTCGTTTTGCATACTATTGTTATATCGTTACTATTATCAACAATGTGAGACTGATTATGACTGATTTTATCTTCGATTGAGATTAATGATAATTACAAGTTATTTAACCTTTCAGTGTTGGCATTCTTTAACAAGTGCACCGATTCAGACGCTCTATAGAACAGACACTCACGACCTCGTTTCCTTTTCGCGCGTGTCATTAGCATCGTCTCCTCAGCATCATGTGACCTTCCGAATACAGATCGTCTTATCGGTGTGAGCGATCATAAATACTTTTTATCTATGTTTTCTATATAATAGAGATTTGCCTATGTACGTTAGACGTTAAGTACATAATGCATATATTGCGTTTCCATACATTAGCACTTTATTACAAAAAATTATGTCTCTTAATTGTGGTGCGAAAATTACATTGAAAACTAAAAAAAATATACTTGATTAAGGAATAATTAAAGAAAAACCTAAAGCTTGAAAAATTTGAAACGATCAATTAAAAAAGAATATATCCAAACCTCGTATCTGTTTTTTCTATTTTTTGCGAGATATTTTTAATTTTTAAATAATTACTTTAAAATAATTATTGTTAATTGTTAACCTTTAAAATATATATTCGACTATATTTGTGTAAAAAATACATTCTAGTATTGTGCTAAAATCTGTGGAAATCAAATGACATTTGCAAACTGACCTTATTCTATTTTCACGATGCACATAGAACTATAAACCAATTCAATGTTCATCCTTGGACATCGTCATATGTTTGGCTTTGTGTATATATTTAGGTTTCTTTGCATTTTCGGTTATTTAACATTGAACATTTAGATTTCCACTTGCCGATCTTTTATTCATGTTATGTGTGTATACACACAAAAACATATATAATAGTATGCAGAATAATTAATTTAAACAAGTAAAAATAATATTCAAGGAAATTATAAGTTTCATGCATATTAATTTAAACGTTCACAAATACATAACGATTCTATCAGTAATAGTTCACATAGTTATTACGTCCTGTAATTATCTGTAATTACAATACCTGTGTATACGTCATTCCAATGTGAATTACAATGTGTTATTTTAATGTGGACTACGCATTTTGCGCTACTTCGTCGTTGCCATTTAACATATAGTTAAATGGGTGTACACAGCGCGTCAAAAAATCGCGAAGTAGTCGCGGAGATCTAGGGGCAAAAAGAGCGGTTTTTCTTAGGGATAAATAACGCGACGCAGTTGTGAATAAACGATTGCTACTAGTTAGCTGGTACAGTGCTCGTTATGGTGCTATTTATTCCTAAGAGAAACCGCTTCTTTTTTGCCTCTAGACCCTCGCGTCTACTCTCCGCGAATTTTTGACGCGCTGTGTACGTATAAGTGGAAATATGTATAATTTAATACACAATTTGTTTTATTTATTTTATAGGATATTAAAATTTTTTAAATCTATTTCTTGAGAAATATGCGTATCGTATTTCTTTATAGCTTCTCTTTCTCTCTCTCTCTTTCTCTCTTATTCTTGCTCTGTATTTTTCAACATTTAATCTAATTAATAGTGGATACATTTTTTTAAGACTATACTAACGGCCGTATATTCAAATCGGCAATCAATTTTAAGCGCAAAAGAAAACCGATTTGTGTGTCACGGCAAAATACTGCGAAGGGATGCGCGTGATGTTCGTTCATTATCTAGTATTTGGTACAGGATGTCGTGCCGTTTTCTAGAGTGGAGTTAAACCGCGAAACGCCTCTTTCATAATTACGTCATTGAGCTCCACTGTCCGTCTTTCCAGGATCAGCGGAGTCGGTCAAGCTTTTCAAGTAATTCTTTTCTTCCTGAAATAGTTAAAATAAAATTACGCGTTATGTTACGTTTTTTACAATGACTTTCTTAGATATATTTGCGTGTAAGATATTTACGCATAAAAAATATGTGTGTGCGATAGGATATTTAATAAATAACATATTTAAATGTAATACAGTATTTATAAATAAACAGTACGAAAGTTTTTTTTTTTCAATGTTACATATATTTTACGACCGATAAGCCTATCTTATCACAGTTTAGACACATAAATAATTGTCTCTTTGGAGCGCAAAAAAAAAATTAGAGTGTCGTCTTTTGTTCTACCTACAAGGCGAATCAATAGTTACAGAGGGTTGAAACGCTTTCCGAGTGGTGAAATACCTCTCATGGAAAACTACCCTTGTGCGAGACCGTGTGGCCTAACGGATAAGGCGTCGGACTTCGGATCCGAAGATTGCAGGTTCGAGTCCTGTCACGGTCGTGATTCTATTTTTTTTTCTCAAATAACATTCGCACATTACACAGTAAAAAATCGTGCGTCAAAATGTAGAACTTCTCTTGTGTTACGACGTTTTGATTATTACTTCAATGTAAAATTAACATAATACTGATATGTTATTATTTTTTAAATCTTTTCACGTGTTAAATTTATGTTAACTTCACAAATTAACATTTTTTGCATGTCATTTAAAAATGGAATATTGTTTAAGTGCTTTTAACACAATGATTTCAATTAATCTAGACGTCTCAAAGTCAATTTAACATACTAAAAAAATTTAAAAAATCTGTGGCCACATTGTACAAACCCTAAAATGTTTTATTAACATTTCTTACGAGTTACTGCAACTACTGTTTTGTGTAGTTTTAATTATTTTATATGTTATTTTTACATCACGCTTACAGTCAAAATAACAAATATAAATGTAAAGTATTGTGTCAAGTATTTGACTTTATACTAGTTTGTCAATAAGTGACTCACAACGAATGAGTTATTTTAACGTAAAATTTAAAGTGGACCTCCTGGAACATGCAAAAAATGTTAAAATTANCATTTTTTTTTTACTGTGTACGCACGTACCGCACACGAGTTTCGCTCTTGAGATATTCTAAATAACGAATGACTAACTCATTATCATTTTGTTAACATGACATTAAAATTTTTAACTTGGTTTTTGTTCCTCATTATCAATAAAAGCTCGTTTTATTGCTATAATTTGTTTTTCAAGTAGATCTCGCGAGCACTTTAATATAATTGCTTTCAGTTATTTCGTTTACGCTCTTTGCTATACGCAATCATTCGTTTTTAATATTTAATTCGTCGTAATCATTTTATCGATGGTTAACGATAACAAACGATGGCGATATTACACGTACGTCAGGCAAAGATTAAAGCGCGCAAGAGGTGTTACGTACGACGGGTGTGTAATGTTGTTCATAATAGAATTGTGGGAACTGGTAATAATTAAAACTGATCGCGGAACGCGCGCGATCACTGAATTAAAATGCGTTCAATGTCTTTTTTCCGCTCCACGTGCGATGTACACATGAAGGACATTCAAAACATAACATCCGAGAGAATAATCGCAAATAATATCAGTTGCAATAACATGTTACAGATTGACCAGGCGTAAAAAAAAATAATGTCTAATTAGTTATGTAAAATAATGGATTTTGTACTTCGACGTATTTCAAGATATAAATATAATGTGAAGGACGAGCAGAAAAAAGATTAAAAAAAATTCAGTACATTATTCAACGATAAATACACGCGAAACGGTATTTGTAACAATATTGTCACAGAGTGGCTGTAATTACAACATTTTTAAGAGAAGAAGACAATTGGACCAGGGCACCAGAGATCCCCGCTAGGTCATTGCATACAGGAGAGAGAGAGAGAGAGAGAGAGATCGCAAAACCTTATTTCGTTATCAATCTAATTACAAGTTAATCTCACCGGTACTCGCATTAACGACAACACGCGATAGTGTCTAGTTGCTGAATTATAGGTTCGAACGCAGGAATGTCAACCCACAGTGTCGAATTAACAACTAGTACTTTAGAAATATTGCATCACACACACTCGACGTTGTTAGATGAATTCGTATAATTTCATCCGCGCTTCTGCGAACTCCGTAACGGATGAGCTGTAAAACAATGTGACGTCAATGAGACAGAAAAAAAATTTGTGTACACACACATATACAGGGTGCATCGGGAGAGTGTCCAAGTGTTTATACACACAAGCATTTTTATATACAATTTTGTGTAAAATTTAAAAATGTTTTTATATGTCAGTGTAACTAGTAAAATAAATTTTTTTTATTCGCTTCTTTTTTTCTCTTGTAAGAAATTTGCAAAATGGAGTGAATTTCTACTTAATTTGTTTGCAGTTTACGAGCGAACGCAGAACCCATCCCCGCCGACGAGCAGCAGATCAGCGCAGATCCAACAGGAAGACCTCGCCAAAATTCGCCAATCGACAGCAACTACGCCAACTTAATACTCGACAAAACTTTCTGTCGAACGCAAAGACTCGATATCTGATTCTTTTAACCAAGGCAGCTTCACCCACCCGCGCCGACATCGTAGAATGGTAGAAGGTGAACCCGACACAAAGTACAATATTAGTACGTATATTACAGGTTTTACACTTTTGGAATTAATTTTTCTCCTGATTGTTTCGTCAGTTTTTTACAAATTTCGAATTCATTATATTGCAGAGTGTGATGTAAAAGACGAGCGGCTAAACGGTTGCGGTTCCAAGGAACTCGAACTTGCCCGTAAGTATCAAATTCGAAAAATTAAATATTTAATTTTTTTAATTTTTGAATCTCACGTATTTATCTTGCGATCACAGATATCGGATTAAAGGGCAAAACACTCGATCCAGAAAAGGGATCCTATGTTCAAGCTGATTTCGAGAAAGCCATCGAACTAAGCGGTAAGTTTGTTTCATCAACGACGAAAGATCAAAAGAGCGGAGCCACTCTCGCTGGACGCAAAAAAAAAAAAAAAAAAAATAATTATTGAATCATATATTTTTTGATCATCCTCAGTCTAATAAACAAATATAAATAATAACGTCTATGAAATATTAATTCCATAATAATAATTCTGACAAATATTCTATGCGAAGTTAAAACGAATGCAAGAATAAAAACGTATCATAGAACCACAGAAACAAATTTGAAAACGTTAGGGCGAGCCAGTGAAACACAAAAGACGAATAACAAACAACGTCTTTCAAATGTTGACAATTAAGTGACTTCGATAAACGTAGAGAATTACTAGAAAATTGTCAATAATTGCTAATAATAATTCAAAACTGCTAATTGTAAATAAAATAATTTCAAAAATTAAACATAATTAAAAAATAGTCATCAAATCTGTACTTAATCCAATTTTTTTGAACTCTTTTACTCTTTCATTTCCGCAATTTAATTTTTAAGACCGCGGTTTTTATTTATTTAATTTTTCTAACATTTATTTTAGTGTTTGCATTCATCCTATCTCTTATATTACATTGCCTCCTTCATCTTCTTGCAGAATATGGCAAGTTCCATTATTTCCTGCTCGCGGTGTGCGGCTTTGTCAGCACCAGCGAGGAGATGGACGTGATCTCCATGTCCTTCATCTTGCCGAGTGCGCAATGTGACCTGAAGCTCGACACCCAAGCGAAAGGATGGCTCAACTCAATCATCTTTATTGGCATGATGGCCGGGGCGTACGCCTGGGGCTCCGTAGCGGACGCTCTCGGCCGTCGAAAGGTTCTGATCGCCATCTCGTTCATGAACGCTCTGTGCATCGTCGCCTCTAGCTTCAGCCAAAGCTACGAGCTCTTCATGTTGTTTCGTTTCCTAAACGGTGCTGCGTAAGTACATATCCTTGATTCTGAATTAGCGCGACGTATACAAGCTTTTGCGTCACGTGTGCTCCAGTTCATCAGTAACGAAAGGGTTGAATAATGTAGTAACGTTCCAGGCTAGGTGGCAGCGGACCGGTCATCTGGTCGTACTTCGCTGAGTTTCAGCCGAAGTCGAAACGCGGCTCCATGTTGTCCTTTATGGCGGCGTTCTGGACGTTGGGCAATCTTTTCGTGGCTGGTAATTTTCTTTGATTACATCATCAAGTGAAATTATATCCATCACACAAGACGCGCGTCCTGATTTCGTTCATTCTTCGCAGGTTTGGCATGGTTGATCATTCCTAGAGAAATGGGTTTCACAAGCCCGTCGTTCACTTACAATTCTTGGCGAATCTTCCTGTTGATCTGCGCTTTTCCGTCGTTCGTCGTGACGGGGTTGCTTCTGCTGCTCCCCGAATCTCCCAAATATCTCCTGTCTTCCGGCAAGTACGAGGAGGCACTCGAAATCTTTCGCAAGATATACGTCGTCAACACCGGCAAACCGCGTGACTCTTACACGGTAATTGGAACGACTCGTTTTTAATAAATAAATTTTGCGTAATCAGTAAGAGATAAATAATAAACGATGTTCGAATTCGCGTAACGCAATATGTATCGCGCAGGTAAAAGAACTGATTCTCGATGACTATCAGAAGTCGAATCTGATCAAGGCTGAGGCCGAGGTCGAGAAGAGCAAATTCAAGACCATGTTAGGTGACATCGTGGAAAACAGCAGACAGTTATTCGTAACGCCCATCCTTCGCTTCACGATAATATCGATCGTTATCAATTTCACCTTCCACATCGGTTACTACGGGCTGATGATGTGGTTCCCGGAGCTGTTCAATCGTTTTGACGAGTTCCATCGCGATCAGCCGGGCGTGGTGGCCTCGATATGTCAGGTCACCGACTACGTCGTCAACAAGGGCTCGCGCAGCGACGAGAACGTCTGCTCCGACAAGATTGGAGCGTCCGTCTTCATGGAGTCTCTTATCACAGTGGCATCCGCCATACCCGCCAACATCATCGCTGTCTTGGGGATGGATCGTCTTGGGCGCAAATTTTTTCTAGGTACTTATTTCAGTAAAACTGGCTTAAAAAATTATTTTTCTTTTAAATAAATTACTCTAACATTCTATGTGCTTTTTTTTTGCAGTGTTCAGCACATTTTCATCGGGATTATGCTCGGTCGGATTATACTTTGTGTACAATAAGTATCAAAATCTCATTGTGTCGGCCATCTTCAGTGGTGCGATCAGCTGCGGCAATGCAGCGCTGGATTGCCTGATCACCGAAGTGTTCCCGACACAACTGCGCGCAACCGGCATCGCCATATCAATGGTTGCCGCTCGCCTCGGCGGGATAATCGGTAACATTGTCATAGCCCAACTCTTGGACATGTACTGTCCGGCGCCGACCTTCATAGTAGCTGCTCTCCTGATTGGTAATTTCTTCGTGCTTTAGTTTTTAAGTTTTTTTTTTTTTCTATTCTCTTCATTGTCTTATTTCTTATGTGTTGTGTTTACAGGAGGAGGTTTGCTGTGCTTGTTCTTACCGAATACAACACGCGAGCCGCTTTCCTGATCCAAGTGAGAGCTTCATTCCAGTTCTTGGTCAACAATCTACGATCGTCTATACATATATATGTGTATATATATATATATATATATATATATATGTATATATAGACCGTCTATACATATATATATATATATAAATTTTTTGTCGAGTATTACTGAATTTTATAGTCTTTTATCACATTATTTTTGCAAGTAGTAGAGAATTAGAATTTTTGTTGTTCGTAACAACATTCGCTGATTACAAAAAACCTTTGTTAGCGGAAGTTCAGCCAAACCCAGTTTTTGGCGTAACAAGAACATGAACGTAGTGGTTAGTTTGATACAGAGATTTAGTCGAATTTTATACACATATTGATATTAGTCGTTTAATTTAGATACGGCAATTAAATTGGTGACTTTTAAATTGCAATATTATAAATAATCTATTGTTCTTTGTACGTAATTTGACGAACATTACATTTATCGTAAGCATACGTTGAAAGCATAAAAAAAGAAAAATAAATAAATAAAAAAAAGTCTGCGAAACACGCAATCGATATCCCAATAACAAACTGACTATAAAAGAGTACAATTAAACACATCATGTTGAACTTCAGGATAGGAAGTGAAAATAAAGTGAAATATTAGAAACTACGATATGAAGTATCTTCATTTTTTTCAAAGTATACATCAATTTAAAGTAAGAAATTATTCTCGCATCATCTTTTCCTTTTGTCTCGCAAGTTTTTTTTTACTAAGTTTCTTTTTCGACGGTTCTTCTTCGGTAGCTTTCGCAACCACGTCTTCCTTTTCTGTCAATATCACCTCAATATGACAAGGCGAGCTCATATATGCTGCAAGTATTGTGATAATTAAGTATACATGTGATAATTAAATATACAAAAGAGAAAGATAGAGAAATGAAGATCAAATGTGACAAATTGAATTAAAATTGTTGAGCTTTGTATATGATACTTACGATTTATACGACCATGAGCTCTGTACGTTCTTCTACGTAAACAAGGCGCGTGATTAACCTGAATATGTTCAATTACAAGTCGATCTACATCCAGTCCTTTGTAATCCGCATTGCTCTCTGCATTTTTCAAAAGCTGCAGAAGAAATTCTGCGGACTTCTTAGGCCAACGACCTGAAATAATTAAAAACCTGCTACAAATCTAATTTTGTGATCATAGGTGCATTCGCTTTGGGCGTTCACGCGCTTTAGTCTATCTTCGTTCTACATTTAGAGAGCAATAAAGACAGACTGACGCTTAGTGTAAGTTTCTAAAGCAAACGCATCCTGTATCTTTAATAAGTAGTTTTTGACAAAAATCAATTGTTCTATTTTTTATTGACACTTGCATGTGGTGTGATATAAAAAAAAAGTGCAAAAATATATTAACACATACCTTGCGTAGTACCAAATTGTTTGGCTTGAGCACATCTGCCAACACCGCCGTTGAACCTACGGAACGGAACACACTCCTTGTGCTCAATGACATTCTTCAAGTACTTTTGCGCCCTTCTCAGAGCCATACTCTTAATAGCACGTGCTGTTTCATGAGTATTCTGCAACGTAACAAGTGCTCATAAACAACACGAATTCACGGAGCACGTTTGAGGTTAGATCATGAAGTAAATATTAACCTTAAAGTGCACGCGAAGATTCGAGCCTCGTGCCTTGCACGATTTGCCCTGGTTGACCGGTTCGTGGGAGTAACGACCCATCGCGCTCTGAAATCACAGAATGATCATGATTCTTCCCCGATCTCGCATTTCCCGCGACATCGCCACGAACAAATAGCGGATCGCGACCTAACCGCATTCACGCCCGCACTCATCTCCCGACTTTCTCGTCGTTCGAATTGAACGAACACGACATATTTTGCGCCGACGTTGCAGTCGAAGGATTTTCCTTCGAGAAATCATCCTTCGTCGAGCGAACAATTGAATGCTGTTCCAGATGCGAACAGATATTGAAACTCGACGAATTAAACCATACGTACCTTCTATCGCACCACGATTTCGAAAGGAAAATCCGTCACACGCGACGCGAAACTACGGTGACTTGACTTCCGCCGGGATCGCAGGCGCGCCAACTTGAGTGTCAGACAAGATTCTAGATCGCAGCACCAGACGCTACAGCTGTGCTGTTTAAAAAAAAAAATTCACCGCTAGCGCTGAAAGTCTATAGTTTACGTCACGTATATTGTAAATTTTCATCAATGGCAATAAATTTGTTTTTAAAGAGATACTCAATGACAATTCTCAACGTGTGATATCGCACGTCATATATTTTGACGGAATTAAACGTTAAAAAAAAAAAAAACGGTGAAATTGTCGCGTGGTTCTTGTCGCACACTAGGTTTATGGAATATTAAAAATTTATTACAAATGGTAAATGGCCGAAAACGGCAGACTGGTGATACTGTGCAAAGGATTGTCCGAGAAGAATGACAGGCAAGAGACGTATGCGAAGATATTGGAATCAGCTGGTTATGCTTGCGAGTGCTTACGTACCTTGCGATTTGAATTCGTGAATATTTCGGAATTGCGAGAGTGTCTTTTAACACCAGATAGATATAGCGGTAATTTTACACGCAATTTCTAGGAAAGAAATTATATTTTTTTTAATAAAAAGAGAGAAAAAAGAAAAAGAGATATGTACACAATTTATGTTCACAAATTCTTGTATTGCACATAGGTTTAATATTAACAAGTCCTCGTACAATCGAAGCCATCGCGTTAGCGATAATGAAAGAACACGCGAGCGTTCTTTGCGATTGGAAACAAGTGGCGACTTACTGTGTAGGACCTGCTACAGATTCTCTCGCAAGGAGTCAACTTGACTTGCAACATTGCATCGGTAGCGACTCCGGCAATGCGAAACAGCTGGCCAAACAAATTGTTCTCGATGTCAGAAGAGATTCAAAACCATTACTTTATCCATGCAGCGAGATCGCGCGTGAAACCATAGCCTCTGTTCTCAATGACAATGGAATTTCGGTGAAGAAACTCGTGGTTTATAGAACCTTGGAAAGCGAATTGTTAGAACAGGATTTAATGGAAGTGATGAAAAAATTTCCTAGCATATTTGTTTTCTTTAGTCCGTCCACTGTAGAGTTCGTTGCGGCACGACTTGAGAAAAATTCTTACAATACAAAGGATATAAAAGCAGTGGCAATAGGTCCTGTGACAAGAGAGGCGTTAATCAAGTTTGGTTTCAAAATTTACGCCACTGCGGATAAACCTGAACCAGCAGCTTTGATGCGTGCAATTGCAACAGCTGAGAATGCACAGTAGATTTGAGAGTAAAACAGATTCTTGCTTCACGAAAAAAAATATCTTGTATTTGATTAATTAAAAATTTACATTTGTAACATTTTCTAACATGAGTATATTTGGAGCTAATTACTACGTAATACACGTACGCAAATCTGTTTTTCATTTCTTAACTTATTCAATAAATTTTAGTATACGCGACAAAAATAACATGTAAAATTTTTTAAATATAAATATTTTTATATATACATGTGTATAAAATTTTTAATAAGCACGCCTTTTTACTGGGATTTATGTTTTTCCGTATCACCCGTGTCTCTGTTTTTATCTTAAATAATAATAAATCTCAAAGCGATAAAAACCATTGTTAGTGAATTTGTGCAGAGACAATTTCTAGTATTCTTAATAAAATATATATATATATATGTATGTAATCTCTTTCGCGTATTACTTCATCTTCTAAGTGTTTTTTATATTCAACATTACGAATAATATATAATTTACTGTTATTAAATATTAAAATTTAGTACCTGTTGCGATTTACGTTACCAAGAAGGCACGAAATATCTGAACCAATTATTGCAGACTGAATATTTGCATAATAAGGCTGAGGAGGAACATTCCCTCCGTTATTGTATTTCATTTGAATCGCCGTTTCGTAATCGGGCGCCGGTCTGTACGATGGCAATAACGCGCGCAAGTTATTTATATCGGTCGACGAAACGGACACAACAGGATACGGCGAGGTCGAAAGATCGTTGTAGCTTGTCCATCTCATGTGACTGTCCGCGGTTTGATTGTCCAAATTCGCAGACACCGCTTGATCGTTTGAATCGTTCGTGTCGTTATCCTAAAATAAAGTATCACAATATTTTTAATTAATGTGCAAAATGTACAAAAATTAAATACAAAGTTTGTTTACGCACATAGTAGCCATTGGATCTTTCCGGGGGAGGACGTTCTTGACATTGCAAGTAAAATGTATGTTGGGCTACACACAATCTCCATATATATTTTGTATCACGAGACTCGGAAAATACAAATTGTTTCGCTTCTTCACCTTCCAATTGACACTCTATCCTAAATATCTTTTTGTTATGTATGACGTTACTGATGTCTCTCCATCTGCAGAGCACAAAACATCTCGGTTTCATATGCGCTACAAAACACGCATTTTTCCAATATGCATCTTATAAAATCACATGTATAAGAAATCAAATGACCTGTACAGATGCGTTGTTTGCGTATTGGGATAGATCACGGTGATCCCATTGACAGAAATCCCAAGAATAACTTTATTGTTGCTGTTGTCCTGAAACATATTGCATATTTGGAAACAGAATCCACTTCCACCTAATCGAGGATACTGTAGTATTTTTACTTTGGCATTAAATGTCTCATTGCCATATCCCTCTAGCTGCATAACAAGCGAGATATACAGCTCTTCCGCAGCAGGTTGAGTAACATTGGCAAGACCCTTGTAATGACAAAGCGCAGTATGGAGCAGAGACTCTTGTCCGCCTGGATCTGTTTTGATTGCTTCCTGTAGCGATACAAGAAGAAACGGCAAGTTATAGATATTCGTAGAATACGAGGAAAAAACTAAGAAGATTAATTATTACATTTGGAAAGAAAGTATATTGTTGTAGACATTCCATTGTGTGTCTTTCTGGACTGTAATTTCCAAACTCAGCTTGCATAGAATAACTCGCCAGCATGCAAGCTTGCCTAGGATTGCACGGTATTCTCTCTTCTAATATATCGCTCTTCAATTGAAGATAATAATGATATCTGTGTGAGAAAAAAAAAGACATATATATCGCATACAAATTTTATGCATAGAAAGTTCAAAGTTAAATAATAGATACCTCGTCATTTCATCTTGAATAAACTGAACATCTGTGACATAATACATAACTCTCAGATAGAGCATGAGATTCTTGGCATCTTTTTCAAGTTGTTTTTTCAAGGGCATCTCCAAATCTATCCAACGCAAGGATGGCGTATCGTAACAGCAGATGTAGCGCAACCCAAAAAGTTCCGGCTGCCCCAATCCCAAACGTTGCGTTACATGATTCAAACATTCCTGACCGATACTGTCAATGCTAAGTGTGCACTCTATGGAAGTAGCATCCAGTAATTTGACACAAATCACATACTGGTTTTTGGACACAACGTTATATTGTCTGCTCTTCTTTAAGTGAAACTTAAACGGCATTTTAGCACTCACAAACTACCTCTAAAAACACACACAAACGATATTATATTATTGTAAAATTGCAGAAGTCCATGATACAAATTTATAGGTTAAGAAAACTGTGTGATACTTATGGATGAATATGTATTAAATTTCACTAAAACTTTCTCTGAACAACAAAAACGTGTTCTATTTTAATTTTTTACGCAATATTTATTCAATAAATAATATTATTATATGTAATTAAATTAAATAGAGTAATGTATCTTCACATACGTATATTATACTGTTCGTTGCGTGTGTGTGAAACTCACCAGTCTCAAAATATCGTACACTCATCACTTTCCCGTGTAAACATTACTCGACGAGCACGTATTTTAGGTGACGCTTATTATTAGCCCAAATTCACGCCCTTATTTTTTCACTTATGTTTTCGTATGAAAAAGAATTTTGCAGTCACAAAAAACTCTTTTCGACTGCTTGTGCATGCACGTGCACTTTCTCACGTGAAAAAAAAAATGAGATCTAACAATTATAATCTTTTACTTTAATTTTTCTCGTCGACTTCTTGCGCCGACTAAGAGAGAGTAATTTTTCTCTTATTTTCTAAATACTAAATCACTTTGACACATAACCAAGGCGCGCGTTGTGTACACAAGAGCAAGAATCGATACTCTGATTCACTTCGGAGGCGGCGAGAAAGTGTCGATATCGTCTTTTGCATCGTCGAGCGAGTATCGATGTCACGTCGAGAAACTGAAAGAAAGTATCGATACTTTCTCCTAGAGTGCGTGTAACGTCAATGGCCATTTGTGATATCACACCACACGGCACAGCTGGGCCGATCTCGGGAGGAGAGTAGTCTGAGAAGACGATGACGATTATCACGCGCGTTAATTCGATAGCCGGCCAATAATGAGAAGAAAAAACGCATCACTGCCCGCGTGCACACTATTATACATACGCCTACCGAATGCCGATAAGAGACCGCGGTCGTGAGGAGGGAATAGATGCCCGCTGCTGTTGGAGAGCTTTGTGTCACATGTTCTACGCGCGAAGAAAATGAGCATCCTGCGAAAGAGGTGAGGTTTTTTTCGCGTTCTCACGCTATTTGATCGGCCCGATTTATTCATTTCTCTGACGAAGAGGGATATTTGCAGATTGAGCGAGTTCGACGATGTTCTTAACGCGGACGAAATAGACATGGTCAGTCTCGGTAAAATATGTTTCCATGGTATGTGTCGCTTGTCTTTCGCGCACGCACACACACACACACTTATATACACACGCGCGATCGCATCTTTGTCTTCACTATTTGTCACAGCAATTTGCGGTCAGAGTTGTTAACTTTATATTTTGTAATGGCTGGCAATTCTTTTGTGAATTCTAGGTATACCGGATGAGCCCGGGGGGCTGAGACCTTTGTGTTGGAAGTTGTTGCTCAACTACTTGCCGTCAAAAAGATCCAGTTGGTTAGAAACACTGAAACGCAAGAGAGAATTGTATAACACTTTTATTGGTAAGAGAAAGAGAGAGAGAGAGAGAGAAAGAAAGAAAGAAAGAAAGAGACATATATCTAGTTGTTGTGTTTTATTAAAAAAAATTTTAGAGATTTATGTGATGAGATTTATGTATGATATTACTGTATTTCTTGTTCTTTCTCTCATTGTAGAAGATCTCATTGTTATGCCTGGGGAATCTAATGCAGATGACAAAGAAAGAGTTGATGTAACATTACATGATCATCCTCTGAATTTGAATCCAGATAGCAAATGGCAAACGTACTTTAAAGATAATGAAGTTCTGCTCCAGATTGATAAGGATGTTAGGTAAGTGTTGATTTGCATATACAGTGATACGTGCTATTATAAATGTTGTGCGAAAAAATACATTAGTGCCTTTTAAGCGTACATATAGTATAATTCTGAAAAAAATCAATAATAGTAAAAAGTAAATAATAAATCTAGGCGACTGCGTCCAGACATATCATTTTTCCAACAAGGCACTGATTATCCATGCGAAAAAATAGTGAGTACCAATGGCCAGCAACGTTTACACAATAGAGTTCAACATACTGTCTTAAAAAGTGCAAATGTTGAGAGAAAAGGATTAGGAATGACCAAGGTAACAAACCACAAATATTGCTACTATCACATACAAGTAATATAAACTAACTTGCCATTAAATTTATTAATAGATTTTACTTGTCTTTGTCTTTATATGTTGACACGGAAAGCAGCAGGTAAAATTAATGCAAGTGGAGTTACGTGTTCTCTACTTAAGATAATATTCTCAGAAAAACTTAATTTTTTTATAATATAGTTTTATCTCTTACATCTTGTAAAAATCACAAAGTTATATATATATATATATATATCTATACATATCTATATATCTATGTGAGAACTTTATTTCATTGATATATATACGTGTATATCAGTTCCATAAGCATTACGTGTATGACTTGTGTTATCGTGACCCGTTATATCGTTATTTATCTCTGTTAGATAGCAGTGTCCGTCAAAAAAGCTACAGAAGATTATGCGCCGTTAGATGAAGGTGGTGAAGCGCACTGGGAAGTTTTGGAGAGAATACTTTTCTTATACGCTAAGTTGAATCCCGGTCAGGGTTACGTTCAGGGTATGAATGAGATAATCGGACCTATTTATCACGCGTTTGCTTGCGATCCGGACTCGACATGGAGAAGTGCGTGTCGCAACATGATAACCGTATCAGCGTACACAGACGACACTTACCAATGTAATAACATACACTTCCGTTCGTAGAACATGCCGAAGCGGATACATTTTTTTGTTTTACCAATCTAATGGGCGAAATACGCGATTTTTTTATAAAGAGCCTGGATGAAGCTGAATTTGGAATTAATTCGATGATGAGTAAATTGACGAATCAGGTTAGAGCCAACGATCCCGAGATCTGGTTACGTTTGCACGAGCAGGAATTGCGTCCGCAATTTTACAGCTTCAGGTATTGATAGATATCGCTGATCGTCGTCGTTATATCTTCACGTTTATTTTTCTTATTGTTATTTTTGTTTGTTTTTTTTTCGAGATGGTTGACGGTTCTTCTTTCGCAAGAGTTTCCGTTGCCGGATGTCATGAGAATATGGGATTCTCTGTTCGCTGATGAGAACAGATTTAGTTTTCTCATACATATCTGCTGTGCCATGATCCTGTAAGTTAAAAATGTTACCGTGTAACATAAATGATCATAGTCTCTTAATAACGTTCCTTAATACTCGTGTTTAGATTACTGAGGGACCAGTTACTGGCTGGCGACTTTGCCACGAATGTCAAATTATTACAGGTAAGAGACGTAAACATAAAAATACTTGCACGTACGACATCATGAAGTATGTATATTCTATATTTTTAGAACTTTCCGTCGATGGATATCCAAATCGTGCTCTCTAAAGCTGCCGCTCTGGCCGGCAAATCTTTATAATCTTATTGTTAACGATTGTTTTGCACAGAGGAAATGCATAACAGAATGATATTTTTTATTATGTTTTCAATTATCATAATTTTCAATTATCATAATAATCTCTTTTTTTGTTCTATTCTGTCTCGTGTTATTTACACGTATTATTTTCGAAAAATAGGAAGACGCAATAGAGAAAGAGAGAAAGAGAATATCAATAGCAACATAACGTTATATATATATATATACTGAAAGAAGTCGGTATATAAAATAAAATCATGTTGCATTTATGTTGTATTGGAAACATATAATAGCTGTATGTGTATATGTATGAATCGTGATTACGTGTGATTTATTAGAAATATCAGCATCCATACATATACAGCGTTTTTCCGCGTATCAAAAGTTTTTATATCTATATGCGTTTGTACATATATGTATAAATGTTACACTGTAAGTAACATGGTTGAAGAATTTGAAGTGTAAATTTATTAACACGAAATGAAGAATATCAATTTTCTAAACGGCAGGTTGCAATATACAAGCTCATAATCAAGATTTCAAGTCGATGAGGAAAACAAACAACTGGTTTTAAAACAAGTTTCCGATTATTCGACTTGACATAAATGAATTTTGCAATACTTGCATCCATAGATTAGTACGTTTATATGTGCGCGCGCCATAATTAACACATAATGAAATATTACATTTTGTAATCTTATTTTTGTAATAAAACGCGTCGTTTCAACTACGTTTATAAAATAAAAGGAAGTGTTATTGGTTCCGTCAAGTGTGTATGTTTTTTTTATATATTATTCTCTGTCTGTCTGCCTGTGTGTGTGTGTGTGTGTGTGTGTGTGTGTGTGTGTGTGTGTGTGTGTGTGTGTGTGTGTGTGTGTGTGTGTGTGTGTGTGTG